GTTGGGCCATGTATTCAGCATGCCAAACCATCGTTTATCGTCACTAGTGTTGTTCAGAATGACGCAAGCAGAGATGTGATCAACCTTTGACTTGGAATAATAGGGATGGACGAGGTTACGAAAGTCTGGGTGCTTTGTGTGCGACTCAGGATGGGGACCGTATGATCCCCACTGTGCCTGGTTGGAAACGTTCTTGTTGTCAGTTACTATGTAGATTGTCCGAATGAGTGCCTGGAATTGTTGTCGCGAGATTGTTATGTTAGAATAGCTCAAAGTCTCTTCCCCATCCACTTTTACTCTTTTCTTCACAAAAATCATTCAAATAAATTACGGTTGTTCATCAACAAAGCATCACTGTTGAATAGTAATGCTGTTTTCAACGATCATGATGATGATGTCCACGCATTTTTTTTAAATGCCAAAAAAAGTGTTCTTATTGTTCCACTCTTGTTCAGAGCGGACATGGTTCGTGCTAAATAAAACAAATTTTTCTAAAGTCTATTCCAGTGGACCCGATTTGCACTTGAAGGTTGATCTTTTCAAACTTTTGATTAAATTTACATGTAAGTGCTTGCCAGTACAACTTCCGTTCTACGGAATGTGCACCCTAATAAACAGTGAGTTTTGTACACTCAGAAACGGAAAACGTAGTCAACGCGACAGAAATTTGGGCCGCAAACAATCGGTGTATAAATATGAAGATGATATGCCCCACGTCATTTGGCGATTGCCTGTTCATAGTTTTTCAAACTTGATAGGACTATTTTATGTTACTCTGTGGCTTAGTATATGTTTACCGAGGAAGTGTACAAACCAACCATACCTAAGCCGAATTCTGTTCGCAGACTTGTGATTCTCGTAGCGTTCAGAATCTGGACGTACAGAGCAGTCCGGCTGATTCTGTTCGGTCCGTCTTGCGGAAATTACAAAGTTCATTGGTTATTAATCGGATGTCAACCGATCTGTTCGCCGGTATCGACAATTGGCTCAAAAACGTTTCGTCACCGTGCACTGTTGGGCGAACGACGACCGAGCAAAGAGAGGTCATTTGACGAAATGCGAACGAGGAATTAGTGACTCAGCCCTGACTACCAGGTGAAACGTGTCGACCGAAGTTCCCCTCTAGTGTAACCCCTTTAATGAGCAAATTGCATCAAACGAACCGGCGAGAGCCTGTGGCAGTCGCAGGTTTCTTAGATGGGACTTCGCTTTGAACTGCTGAAATGAGCTGCCCCTAGGCCGGGTTATGCAGAGATACTTGACCAAGTATCTGGAGGGTGAATTTCGTGTTTCCAAACAAAACTGCCAGATATCTTAGCTTGGTAACTTGAAACTGCATGGGAATATTGCTAGCTCGTACGTGTTTCCTGGTCAGATGGTTGTTGATCTGCTCACTGTGTTATGCAACTATTTTGCACTCCTCAGCAAATAGATCAACGGCGAACAGATCTAAAAATTAGTTCTGACCTACAGCAGAGTTATGGATCGTGGCATTTGAGTTTTTAAGGTGTTTGGCTTCCGCAGAATGCAACCGTGATGTTGATAGAAACCAGGTGTTTTATTTGGAATTTTTAAAAAGAATACCACAAGGGCGATGGTGACAGGAATTCACCGATTATCCTACAAAGCCAGTCCAACCACGGAGCCATCTCGACCCTAATATACAGGTTAGAGCCGTATGAATGGAACTGGTGTTTGGCGGCATAAAAAAGGTGTTGGCTCTTTCTGTTGTGTTATAGCCAAAGCTCTGTGCAAGGCTGTAGAAGTTTTCCTTGTCATGTAGCTGATTAGGTTGCGACTTATTCTATAACTTTTTTGACCCAACTAGTAAAATTACAGGCAGATTTAGCGGTCCTTTGTTGAACATCCGTAACAAAACCTCCTTCTTTTCTGTGGAAATGTGTTAGTACTAATCTGCCATATCTGACAATAAATCTTCCGACTACCTTGCGAAACTTCAACGGTCCCAACCCAAACGAAAAAAAGATTATGTTACGTCCAAGTGCTTTCCCAAAAATTATGAGGACACTCAGTTTACAACTAATGTCCGAGCACAGAAATTCACTTGACATTAATGAAAGTTTTTATCTTCAGTAGCTGGGAGGAAATTCTAGGCAGAAGACATAGATTATAATTATTCGAGCAGCGTCACATTCTAGGACTAAATTACCGGGTTTGCAGATGGCAGTGAATGTTGTGTCACTCTGTCCGTAAGGTTTCTCGCATTCGCATGTTTCACTAATTCATGGAAGTTGATTGTTCAACACAGTCTCCACTAGAAATGGCGATAATAAAATATGGCATTTTGGACCACTCTTGGGCAGTAGCTGTAACATCAGCAATACTTTAGCAAGCACCGCTGGCGATCTGGCCTTGCCGTCATTTTCGCCTTAGTCGGGCTCACCAAATTTCGTAGACATGGGAAATATGGTCATTGTTTATCTTATTTGATGAACAGACAAACTTTCTTCAGCATAATCTAAAACGCCAAAGTTATTGGGATATTGGAATGTTGTACAGATTCTCACTCTGAGGAATTGTGTGCTATGCAGCAATGCTCATGTTTATAAGACAATAACCACTTCAGTTCAACACCCGAATGGAGAGAATCCGCGAGTAAGCACTGACCACGAACCGCAATAGCCATACAAAATTCAGATATGTAAAGCTCACATCACAACAGCGGTTTTGAGTTTGAGTTCCGTTCACAAAATTTGAGCTGCTTAAAAAGCTCAACAAGAGTGATACTAAAAAGCCCCATATTCTCAGTATCAGACAGAATCCTCCTTAGCTTGTACTGACGGCTGTTTTAGCCTAATTTGAAAGAAAACAACATGGCTTGCTGCTTCCACATTTATACCGTTTTATTTGAGTTAAATCGGCCTATCACTTTATTTCGTGCTGCAAGCCCTTGACCAAATGTTTGTCCGTAAACCAAATATATAGACTGCCATCTCAGCAGTCCTCTTCTCCAAAACATTTGCTAGTAGCCAGAGCAAGGTATTCAAAACGCTTTTTTCAAACGAAGTTTCTTCTTAAGTTCTCATGAATTGGAAAGCCAGACAACTGGTCGAGTTTCCAGTGTCTTGGCACCAAGTCCATTAATACTGCCTAATTTCGATCAAAAGAACAAGCTCAAGGCCAAAGTAATCAATCTTCCAAAGCGGTGAGGTAAACAGTAACGTCATGCGTACCGGGAACTTGACACGAGGTCCAAATCAATTTTATGACAGAAGATTCCCGATATTGATTACTTATAAGCGATCTGAAAAATTCTCGTTTACCAAGGAAACAACCTGCGTGGTGGAGGTATTCTGTTTAGAAACCTCAAATAAAGCCATAAAACTCATTGGTTCATACAGACAAAAACAAACTGTATCCTACCCCCCAAAAAATAAGATTTTCTTAGTTCACTTACTCCTCTGATTCTGAAGCGTTGAGCCCCTGATCTTTACGCAAATCTTTTTAAACACATCGAAGGGCTGTCTCAGCCCATTCAGCTACGAATATATGGCACAATCCGAAGCAAACCCAGGTGTCTTGCTTTTTTTATATGATGAAACCGTCGGCAGTCTTAAGCCTTTAGTGGGAATGTATAAACATTTGCAAGTTGTCCTGTCCACGGCTCAAGTATGTCCACTTGGTGAAACTTTCGTTTCAGTGCACTGTGCCTGATTTGTCGATTCTAACGATTTACAGCACTCGACATTTCCATAATGAGCAGTCTTACCTGGGCAAGCGGTCAAATTCAGTTGCCACTATCTTAAAAGGATTCATTATTTTCCTGATTGTGCTAACGTCGTTTCAGAAAACGGATGATCCATAGAAAACAGCCGGCCTTGTCTTGATGGCTGAGAAAGGTTTGAATATTTGCGTCAAAATACACTAAACTGTGGTGGACAAATCTTATTTTGGTTCAGCACAGTGCCTGGTACGGCGCTGTAGCATTTATTGCAGAACTTCATGACGACGCACCCTTACCAAGGTAGCAACGACAACCGCAGTCTCAGCAAAAATCTTGGTTCTCTCCCAAAGGACAGGTATGATAAACACAATTTAACTAAATCGACCTTCTCCTGTAGGTGCCTTGAAAATGAGAATACTGAGTAATGTTAAAATATTGGCCTAAGTTGCTGTTCTGTTTCACCGCAAATCACAATTGAAATGGAATATTCGAATACAACGTGATCAAAGCCGTCTGTGAAGTTGATCCTACGATCAATATGTGACCTTAGCATGGCTGTTAACCGGGCAAACTCTCCGGAAGAATTTCAGGTTGCCGCCCGGACGTTTGCACAAAAAAGCAAAGAATGTGAAGCATGACCAGCAACAAGCAAAGAAGAAAACAGAGATAGTATACCATGTACACAACGCATTCTGTCCATCTCCGAGGACAGAGTAGCTTCTAACTATTATAAATGACTACACGGGTGATCGAACAAGCGGTATCAGTACAAACTGCGACTCAGGAGACTATGTTGGCCAGCGCTACAGTGTACTAAAAAGCCGAAGATGTTGACAGAAGGTGCCTTCTTTATTATGTTGTGAGATGCTTTACAGGATCCAGGACAGAGGCACTCCAAGTTGAAATCGTGTATGGTTCATTGTTTATTTATCTTATGCCCATTAACAGTAGTGCCAGGTGCCACAGGCTTTTCCTCGGTTAACAGGGAACTGGAAAGTATGAATGACCATATTATAAGGGTCGCAAGTCACACAATCACACTGAATCCAATATGGAGGTGTCAATCTCAGGGAGCACTAAAAACAGTGGCAGCAACAGTGAGGTTGACCTATGCTAAAGTGCGTCGGATAAAGTAATGAAAACATTCTTTTGACAAATGGTCCTCATTCTCATAAACCAAGTGGCAAGCCCTACTTTAATACCAGGCACGCTTAAGAATATAAATAATTATTACAGACTAACAAAAATTACGTAGCACCCCTTCTCTACCTTGGTTCGAACACACACGCCGTTACTGGGCCGGTAAGTTCTTTTTTCTGTGTTTAAAGGTAGCTTTTCATCATATTGTCTACAATCATCCTGAATAGCGGCATTCGGACAAAACTGCCCCGATACTAATCAGGACAATAAGGGTTGAACAACCGGCACTATGAAGAATAAAATAAGAATTAAAAATAACATTAAAATCGTCTCTTTTGGTAGCTTTTTGCTGAGCAAACAGATCCAACTTCATATGACGCACTCAATTATTCATTTGCAGATGGGTCGGTGGGAAACTGGGATGAATTTGCAGATGGGAGTAGCGAGTGAGGTGCGTTCGAGATGGATATCCGTGCACACACGGGTTTGACAGTTTCAGTTGACGGTCGTGGCTCATCACACGTAGACCTGTATCTAAGATTCACACCGGTCTTATTCCTCAACGTTGGAATGTTTTCTGGATTCGGGATTGTCTGTCCCGTCAGAACTTCTCGTGCATTGTTCGTCAAATCCTGGTTGCCTGTATGAGTTTTGGCCATATTGTAATCGCCGGAGTCGAAGTATTTGGCCTATTTATAGAGAAATGCAAACATCAAATGGTAAACACCTGCTGTAAACATTTTTTGCTTTGCTACTACGCTTACTATAAACCCAAAAACCACTCAATAATATTGTGCTGTGTTGATAACACATCACCCAGCCACTTTGATGCTATGACTGAACTCCTGGTATTCTAAAATAATGATGCTCGAGCAAGGGATTTCAGATGACGTTGATTTTCTTTGCAGAATAGGTCTAACACATACTGTGTTTGCGAGATAAGGAACTGAAAACTTTCGAAAACATAGCGCCCCATCTCATAATCGCACAACATCCTGAACCCTGCCATGAAACCGACTGAACCGCCGAGTTGATTGCATTTATGTCACAGATGTACCCCCACAGCGTGAGTCTGTCAGTGAAAATTTTGAAATTTGCCTTAATCTGAGAAACTTACTATGAAAGGCTTAGTTTAGTGAAGGTCATTCAAAAATCGATCTACTATGTAACGGTGGTTTATATCCACGTGTTAACATGGTTTAAGGCAGAAAGCTGTGATTCTACTTAGCGTGTCATTTAAACAAACGTTAAATCTGGATATTCTGAGTTAGATACTATAAAGCACAATTTCAGTGTCATATATAACCACCATTATACCCCAGTGTCCTCCATTGGCAACTGTACTCGCCCATCCATAGTTCGTCTTTTTGACGTTTGCCCATAACCATATTTAACAAAATCGCCTATCTAGATGTTTCGTCAGCTGAATGAAACTTGTGTCTACGAACTTGCGTTACGATGTTAGATTCAAGTGCAACGAAAGAGACGCTAGCTGAGTTCAACTTCAGATATTGCTTCTCAAAATAAAAGATTCCACACCAAAAGTAGAAAACATTCTGAAGATCTTATATCTAGCCTCATAGAAAATAGAGAGCACATAATTAGCACCTGAATTTCCACTTTGTATGTAGCTAATAGCTACATTCCAAATGTGATAAGTAAGTAAAGGCATTGTTAGCAAAACCAAACCATTTGTTTTAAGGACAAAAGAATGCTCAAAGGCCTGATTTAACAGCCTTTCCTCCGAAGAAGACGGCAGCTCAAGTTTACCTCAGGAAACCAGTTCTAAATTAGCGATTTTGATAATAAAAACCAGCTAACCAGGCTTGTTTTGGAGGCGTTGACATTAATACGAGTTACACGTTTCACCTTCAAAATTGCTTGTCTTTAGTTCCTAATCATTTAAGAGCAGGGACCGGGAGATTGCCCAAGTTTCTGACACTGTAGTTTCCGGCTGTGTAATGTAGGTAAATCTTGTAGCTCTTAGTGCCAGCTCTCTTGGAAAGCCTTGAATTAGCTGTCTTGAGCGTTGAGTATGTTTCCATGATGGTGACTGGATGTGCCATTCCGGCGGACAAACAGACAATTGGATACGACAGTGCACTTTCCGCTGAATTCCGTGGGAAAACTTTCCACCGAAGGCGCAACCAGGCATGTGCACTGAGCCTCTGGACTCTGTTTCGTGTACAGATTCTTTGTTTTTTTGCCTTAGTTGTCACGTCTCGACAAGTGTCTGAAGTGATTTCAATTGGCATGCACATCCAATAATAAATCTCCTTGCTTCCGGACAACAATACGTCTCTACCTGTATGTCAGCAGAATTCCAACATGAAGGGCGTTAAAATTGCTAGGAACCGCTATCTATCAATTTTCTGAGTTCACTTTAGTTCTAAGTTGGTTGTAGGTTCCGTGTTCTTGATTAAAGTTTGTGTTAGGTCGTTATATCTTATGTCCTCTTTCTTGTATATGGCGTTTCATTTGATTGCTCATTGCCTATCAAAATGTTCTTGTTTCGATATATTGGTACTTGATAGATATAAAGACATACTGAATGCTGCCATCCTACACCAAAGTTGGTATGACAGCAGGTTTTTCCTTAAAAACCTCTAGTGAAACCAATGGCTTTATTCACGTCTGGTGTGTTGATGTGCCGAGAATTTGTCAATACTATTTTCATTTGTAGACTCTGTATATGTATGAGGATTATAGCTGCCACAGGTTCGTTTGCCGATGATCCTGTGAAATAAGGGTGAATAATTACATATTGAAGGGTGTTACTGCAACAAGCAACGTGAAAATCCAGGAGTTTTGGTGGGCGAGAGCGTGGGAAGAGCTGTGCATTAAAGAAATCCGCTTTAAGGTATTTGCGCCAATGAACACGCGATCTTCATTTGGTACACCGGAGTGGAATGGAACTTATCCCCTTCTGCAGCATGTACTGAAGCCCGTCCACAGAGTTCACCTCCTACTCACTCAAGCAGCCGGCTAGATCCATGGTCTAAGGGTTTCAACCCACTCTCCGACAATCACGGTTTCCACCAATCGATTGACTGGGTTGAAGTTTACAAATTCGACTACACTGTAATAAGCTTGACAGACACCGACATCAGTACAGATTAGGCTCTGGCTCGGCGAAGTCCTCCTTAATCCGAATAGACAGATGCCCAGGACGATTTTCCGTAACTCTCCATCCAACATTCTTGTGTGAATTCCAAAACAAGATCTACTTCCACTGGCTCATCATTGCAAAATGATTTCAGTTCTTCAAATTGTGCATTTCATGTGCGAGAAAGACGTATGTTTGACACCCCGAGGCGTCGTAAGTCAAAGCTTCTGACTTATTTATCCTGTCGCTTTCCGCACACGTTATATTTCTCATTGTTCCCCGTGCGAACGGACCCTTCTCACAACCGTTGCATTGACACGGATGTTAAAGCTCGTTTCACCCTGAACACATATTTATAGCTTTGCTGGTCTGTAGCCAACTCGGCTTGCTGCTCTTTATCTGCAACAGTCATAACCTCAGCAGTTACAACGGTATTCTTCGTTTCCAAGTAGCCCCCTCTGTTTCGAATTGTGTTCTTTTTATCGAGTGCTGCCTGTCGTCATCCGCTATTGATTGAGCTATGTAACAGGCTTCCTACTAAGCGCGTTCAGGCAGAATGCAATCTTGTATTTTGCTGTTTTCATCTAAGGATGTTTTGACATCTACATACATTTCGCATGTTTTCCCGTTTGTTGCACACGCCCTTTCAAATATAGTTGCATTGTTTTTTCGCATGCACTGTTGTATGTGCGACTCGGCTCATGGTGCCTTGACCATGAACGATCCATTGTACGCGATAAGGAACTTGGTTCGTTCTAACGGGAAATCGCGATTCAGAACTGGACTGTCTTATTGAAAGCTGTAGAGGGTATATTAGACTTGCACAGCCTCAGCAACTCTAAAGGTAAATGACCACAACATCACTTGTTTGCCTGAAATTCGGAAACACGGCAGGAAAACACGGTGACCCCAACTTCCGACCAGCGTGATCAGAAATAAGTGTTACTCTTCGTTTTTTTCAATTCTTGTGGAGTGAATAGAACGTAGGTTTTATTTTCGATACCAGACACAAGGACGGCTGATGCTATTACCACAAGCTCGGAAACAGTTTATCGTTAGTTCGTCACATACAAATTGGACCTGCACGATGAATACCTCATCTTTGACTGCATAGTTATACACAGTCTTTGAATGGCGCTTTAGGCATCACTGATTTGTGTCAACAAAACTCCCATCATAATGCTTTTTTAAATATAATCCCTGGCGACTTACACGGTCTCTACCTACATGTGCACATGTATGTGGAGACCATGTAAGTCGCCAGGGATTATATTTTAAAAAAGGCATTATACCTTACGCAAAGACGGAGAGCGACTGGAACAAACACACTAAAACGCTATTGCAGTGCATATGAACCAAATTAAGGTTCTATTTATTACTGAATTCCCACGCACCCTTTCGTGAACCCTTCATTGGTCACAAAAATGAAGAACCTAAAAGTTGTGGTAATAGTGATATCAATCTGAGCTATAAACGCATCAAACTCACATTTTTACTAAGTCGCCTCTGCAACAATGCGGAGGCCTTGGTCTCGAGGCCTGGGTATTTCTTTTTCAGTTTTTCCTCTTCCGTTCTCTCAACTTCTTTCGGGTCTTTACCTCCAGACAAACCCTCATTCCCCGGGACTGTCACTAGGTTGGTCAAGCCTGCACCCACCACAGACATCGCGGAAATTGGCGAGAAGGATTCGTGCCACGCGCCCACAATGCGACCTTCAGAAGCAAAATCAGGTGCCTCACGGATTCACGGACTGATACACAAGATCGAGGCTTTTGCCCAAGATTCCCGGGTCTGTTTTGTTCTTGTCGGTCAGTGGTTGTCGTTCACCTGAAAGGCACAAGTGAAAAA